CAGGACGATGGACTTGATCGTTGGGCAACCTGCCTCCATATGAAGACCGGCATACGTGCAAGAAGTTATCTATAACTGGTACACACCATATCAGTTATTGTGGCAAGCAGAAAATGAAAACTACTTCTTTCAGGCTAATGGGACTGGCTGTCACGTGTCGGATCTTGGGCCATAACCGGGCCAAGTACGATAGCTCCGGCCGTTCCGGGTTGTCCGCCATCGGAGTAGCAGCTCTGGTACCGGACCTACGTTATCACATGAATAGTCCTCCGGCGACTCAACGTCCCGGTAGTTCTCGAGTCATAATGGATGCAACTCCGACGTTCACGATCGATATGCCTTTAACGGTTTGATATTCCCTTCGGACTTATTCTACCTCCGATTATCAGCTTCGTAACCATATGCTCCATCCTTACGATTGATCATTCCACATGGTTCATAGTTCCGATAACTCCTTATCGATACGAGCTCCGAACCGTGCCTCCGCGTATATAAACTCCTAGCTCCTGTACTCTAGCTCCTTAGTTCAAATATCGACTAAGTTACTCCTCTGCTCCGACACGGACTTAGAGCGCGTAGCGACTCAAGCCTTAAAGCTTGAGTCTGGTCCGTACTCGCACTCACTCTCTGTATCTCGAAACTCTGCTCCGACATTCTCCGACTCACTCCGACTTTCTTCCGACCCGACTCCAACAATCATCTTGCTAGGTCCGGACGTCACACCTCCGGCGTCGGACTTAGCTCCGTCTCGATCTTGACACTGGCCCTGAGTGCCCAGTTGACATGTTGAGTCATCGGTTGGAGTCTAACCTGTATACAGACGTATTCTGCCAATTCAGTAACCCTATCGCTGACCGCATTGGTACCGCATTAGCAGAGGGCATTGAGCTATTGCCTCATCTTTGGCCCATATGGCGAGATGAGGAGGTGATAGCCTCCAACATGATCGAGACACCATTTGGCAGTTATGCCTGGGTAATTAGTGACCCCGCTACTGATCTCATCCTACAAGTACCCATTGATTTTGTCATGCGACGGTCCTTTGATTTTCCAAATTGGTATTGAGTGTGTATGTTGGAGTTTGCTGAATATGGCCGACGATTCAAGCAAGGCGAACTTGACCTCGATGATGGCAGCATCCTCTGGGAGTGGAACTGGGGTAATCCTTGACTGCCGGATGCTGAGGACAATACCGATGAATCTGGGAATGATCAGGGAAATGACGACAGGGGGGATGATGGGTCATCCTTCTCAGACGATGACATGTACCCTTCGGACACTCGGTTCCCGAGTATCAATGATGATTCTGATGATGACGTACCTGGAGGTCTGCCAGAGGGCGAGGGTATCGAATACAATGGAGAAACATATTTCCAGGGGTATGATAACACTTGGTGGGTTCGAATAAGGACCGCAGCGGCTGCACCTCAGGTGGAGATGATATCAGTAACCGACAAGTCTACCTCCCAAATCAGCACATCACATGCTGTGTATTCGGAGGATAACAGAAGTGTTGATAGTCGCTGGTGGGGATCTGCTATGCCAAGCCTACATTCTGTCGCCAGTATAGATGGCAGATACAATTCTGACAGCGAGTCAGGATACGATGCCGGTATGTGCTCCGAGGACGAGGATACAAGCTCGCTCAGGTACATCGAGGAGGCAGTTGCTGACTGCCTTGAAAGCGAGACTGACTACAAGCTAAAATCACGGCCGGCAGCGTTAGTTGATGAATGGTGCACAACTGGTGATATCTCACCTACTACATGGAGGGACAACACTAGCACTGGTTATCGAGTAAACACGGTGCACGTGAAGCAGCCGCCGGAAGGTAGCTTCCCGAGTCTTCAACAGAATGCAGCACAATCCAAGACGTTAGGCAGGAAAGTGCCAAAGCCAGTCGTTATCATAGTACACGTGAACGGGCGAGACTGCCGTGCACTGCTAGATTCGGGATCTCTCGGCAATTTCATGTCTACAACACTTGCAGAACAGCTCAAGGTCGTAAAAACCCCACTAGAATCGCAGATAACAGTTCAGTTAGCCGCTCAAGGGTCGAAGACTAAGGCCAATTACAGCACTACTGTTGAGCTATCATATGCGCACATCTCAAGTCAGCGGGACTTTGACATTATGAATATCGTTGGTTATGATCTAATTCTAGGAACCCCATTCATATGGCAGCATAAAATACTGCTCGGGCTGAACCCTTCATGAGTGATCATTGGTAGTGATCAACCTGAAAGGTTGCAAGGTGGTGAGGACATGGGAGTCCTTGCGTTGCGTGCCGCAAGACTTTTTAATAAGTCTCTGGAGGATATTCATAAGGACCTGCACGAATATGCATCACCTCTATACTAGAAAGCCAACGAAACGGCATTACCTCCACTTCACAGAGTAAACCACCACATACCTATAATTGACAGGTCAAAGAGGTATCCATTCCAGGCATAGCGGTGTCCTCAGGGGTTCCAAGATCAATGGAACGAGAAACGAGACATCTTTTTGAAGTCAGGACGCTGGCAATATGCGAGTGGTGTAAATGCCTCACCCCTGATGTTCCTCCGAAAGCCTAATGGTGGTATGAGGAATACTGTTGACTTGCGGGCCCGGAATGATAATACCAAAAAGATGGCTTCGCCACTTCCAGATCAGGATGGCATTTGTCAGCGTGTTGCAGGGAGTAAATACTTCACTGCAATGGATCTAGAGGGTGCGTATGAGCAAGTCCATGTTGAACCAGATGATGTAGAACATACCTTGATGGCTACACTGGACGGCACTATGGTTAGCCTTGTACTTCAGCAGGGTGATTGCAATGCAATCGCTATGTTTATGGCAGTTATGACGGACATGTTCGCATCCTACATCAGCGTGTGGTTGGAAATATACTTCGATGATCTGATCATTCATACAAATGATCTGGAGGAGCATGTTTGATGCGTGAAACTCATAATAGACACCTTAAGGGTGAATGAGTTCTATATAGCTGAAAATAAGATGCACTTTTTAGCCGATGAGATCAAACTTCTCGGACACATCGTAACTCACAAGGGAATCAAATTCGACCCATCTAAGGTTGATAGGATCTAAGCCTGGAAAGTGCATACCAACCGAGACTTGTTGCGAGGATTCCTTGTGGCTGTGGGATATCTTGCTGATGGTTGTGGAGGTATCCGTGTTCCCATGGAGGCCTTAGAACCAGGTAATGGGTGACACGGTCGTATATTGCTGGGGTCCTACTGAGCAGCGCGCGTTTGACAAAATCAAAAGCATTGTTCAAGCTCACCGAGAGGTACACTGTGTTGTGATGCAATATGGACCTATGGCTCCGCCAGTTCACGTCGTCACTGACAAATGTTTGACGGGTGTTGGCAGGTGCATTACTCAAGGGGATAACTGGAAATCTGCTCCTGTCGTTGTGTTTTACTCCACAAAACTATCTGCGGCACAACAGAACTATGCCGTGCATGAAATTGAGTTTTTAGCTGGCCTTGAAACCATGACTCGGTATCAAGACGTGCTATTGGGCATACCTTTCTGTTGGTATACTGATCATAAAGGCTTGATACACTTTCTGAATCAAAAGAACCTAATGGGACGACAAGCAAGATGGTTAGAAAAACTGTTCGAGTTTGACTTTGAAATTGTATACGTACCTGGGCTGGAGAATGAACTCGCCGATTCTTTGTTGCAAATATACTCCGTGGACACACCAGGAACCATTCGGGCAAAAGGCGAGATGGTTCAGCATGACGATGACCACCCACCGTCAAAGCTGAAGGAGTTGCCGGTTTTATTTGGTCTTGAAGCTAAGCTTGCAATGCTGCGGCTTCAGCCGCCACGGTCGGTCCCTGACAAGACCATGGTATCAAAAGTGCCAAAGACAATGAAGGCAGCACCATGGACTGTCGAGATCCCTAGGGCACCAGATGTTGCAGGGGCACCGGCCGAGACTGGGCGCCCAGAGATGGTAAAGGAATTCGCAAAACAGATCCGGAAAGTGATGCTCTCGTTACCTGGAGAACATCAAGAGGGTGGGAGTATACAAGAGGCAGCAAAGGATGATACAAACTCATTGGACATTGATGAGGAGGCACCTGAAGCAGGCGAAGCTCCACAGCTGAGCAGCGTAATATTTGAGTATGATGGAATCGAAGATTTTCCTTGATGTTTGCAAGGGAAATATGAAGGTGATAACTTCTATAAGCACCTATTAGAGACACCGTCAGAATACTCGAACTTCAGCTGCAAAGATAGTGTCATCTACCTTAAAGAATCGGGCAGGAAGCTTCTGTGTATTCCAGATGTATTCTTAGGTGATTGGAAGGCACGCAAAGTTGTTATTGCAAGGGCGCACTTGATTCTTGCCCATCTGGGGCCATCAAAGACACTTGCATACTTGTGTAGCTGTGTGTGGTGGAAATCCATGGTGTCGGATGTTCGCACATACTGTGAATCTTGCACTACATGTCGAAGGAGCAAACCGAGCAATCAGAAGCCATACAGCTTGCTAAACCCGTTGCCAGTCCCTTTGAGCCCTTGGGAAGCCATTGGCATCGACTTCGTTGGGCCTCTTCCCATGTCAAAAAATTGAGATGGATCCTATGATGAAATCACTGTTATAATTGATCTACTTACAGGACGGGTACATCTAATCCCGAGCCAACAGGACTACAGGGCCCGAGACATCGCCGAGATGATATTTGCAGAGGTGTATTGACTTCACGGACTGCCAAAGCGGATTATCAGTGATCGTGATGTGCTGTTCATGAGTACATTCCGGAAGCGGCTGAATGAGCTGCTAAACATCAAACTGAACATGTCCAGCGCTTACCACCCGGAAAGTGATGGTTCCACTGAACGAGCTAATTGTACCATCACACAGATGATATGTGCATGCGTAAGCCCAGACCAAAAAGACCAGGTTGCGCGACTACCTGGGATTGAGTTTGTGATAAACCCGGCATGGTCTGATAGTATGGGCTATGCACCGTTCTTTCTGGACACTGGTCGCATGCCGCGGAGCTTGATTTGGGACCAGCCGGCACAAGATGAGTATCCAGGTGTTTGAGCATTTGCACAGCGCATGCGCAATATGATCATGGCTGCGCATGATGCTATCTTGGAGGCCCACGTCAAACAAACACAAGCCGCTAATTGTAGGTGGCGGCCGGCTCCATTTGCTGATGGAGATATGGTATATGTCTCCACAAAGAACATATTGTTCCATAAGGGTCGTGCTCGTAAGCTCATTCCGAAGTACGTCAGGCCGTACCTGATTACAAAGGATTTTGGAAACAACTCGTATTGGGTGGATCTACCTGTGCAACTACTCCAGCGAGGTGTCCATCTGGTTTTTCATTTGTCCCTGCTCCGCGTTCATGTGCCGAATGATGATTGGCTCTTCCCTGGGCAATCTGAGACTCAGGTCGCCGACTTCGGTGCAGAGAGTTCTGAATGGGCGGTGGATCAGATTCTATTGCACAAGGGTAGAGGACAATCAGCAGTGTTTGAAGTCAAATGGAAGGCAGGAGACATTACCTGGCTCCCATTAGATTGAGTTGACGGCTTAGAACAGCTACAGCTGTATCTTGACGCGCAGGGGGTCTACAGTGTTGCCGAACTCTTGGAGGGGCAAGGACGTCCACCCTCCAATGACCCACAGATCTATGCAGGAGGTATCAACTTCAGCTCCACATTCAGTGATAACGGGCTCCAAACTCGCCTACATAAGCCCTCTAGGGCCCACCTCAAGACCCGCAAGACTTGCTGCTCCCCTCGACACAAGGACAAGACTCGATACTCACATCTTCACTTTGATATGTTGACACCCGTGAAGAAGATTGACGTGAAGACCAACACATCGATCTCAGATGCCTCGCACTCCGAAGACACCGCTGAACCGCAACCGCTTCCAGCTGACGACAACAACCCAGCTGATGCTGCGGATGATGCAGACCTTGTCACGGTTATCAATGGGGTCCACTTTCATCTCTGTGACTTCATGTTCCTCGTCGATCAGGAACCCATCCCCCTCCACGGCTGCCCGTACACTGCATACTTCTGGCGTACCATCTCGCAACTCCTTGACTATGACGATGACATCCGTGAAGGCGACACCATCATTGACGAGCCCATTCCCGCTGGCTATCTCGAGCTCCGCACCAATCTCCTTGCGCTCGTTGATCCTTGGACCATTGGCGCTCTATCGGAGTTAGTCCACAACATCAGCGCCCCTGACGAGACATGTCACAACATCCAAGGCCCCTCATTGCGCAGTTGATTCTTCTGCCAGCACGTTAAGGACACTGTTTGCGATCGCAAGAAGCCGGCAATGTCCTCGCACACCACCCACGACACCGATGGACCGTCGTCACCGTTCAAAACCGGAGGTCGTCGCTCAGTTGCCACCCAGCCTAAGAACAAGAAGCGCAAGGTATCGCTCCCGCCTGGGCTTGAGCACGCATCGTACACCCCAGCAGACTTGGAAGTCATCAATTACACGATGATCAGGAGTGTTCGCACGAAGATGCGGCAGGAGCAGCATTGGAAGGAGAACAAGCTTCGTCGTCGCAAGTAATTGAGCGCTTAGCGCATTGGGATCTTTTCTTTTCCACTTCATCCTTTCATTCATTTGGTTTGAAGCCGTTTCCACTCCAAGAGGGCGAATGTGACGTGTCGGTTCGAGACCGTGGAGTGTTTTATTCTATACCATCAATGCCGTTGGCGCCATCGCCTTATCCTTGTTTTGCTTACCTTTATATGCGCTCAGGCACTCATTTACTTTATATAAAAAACCTACCGCTCGATGACTAGACGACAGACACTGTTCTCTCTCGAGTAGTACTCAATCCGTGACACATAACTCTCAGTTGTTTGCTGCCGCCAGAGAACTCGTCATGTGCTGCACCTCACTTATTTAAGCTTGCCCACATCACAGGGGTGGAGCCCCAAAATGGGATCTAAACCACCGTTTTGACCAATAAGACCCTTCACTAATTAGTGGACAGCCACCACTAACTATCATGTGAGTGGCTCAGACGTGTCTGTTGAACGAGACATGGTCATCGCGGGGGACATATGCCATTGTATCCCACTATACTCTGCTGTATATACACTCCTGGGGCTACCTGCAAGCCGTATTTATTGTCTCCATCTCGAAATCATGCCCAAGTGCAACCAGTGTGTCTTTGACGGCCCACAAGAGTCGTTTCCCTTGAAGGTCTGTGGCAGTGGTTACTCGAAGACATGCTCAATGTGCATGGAAAGAAGCCAGAAGAGCAAGATTAGCAAGAGATCAGACAAGGAGAACATGAATCCTACCATACAATCAGACATTCCAAAAGCCCAACCATCAATCCTGTCTCTAGCCAACTGCACCCAATTGCTTGAGCAGCACCGCAATGGTGCCTTCGAGCTGAATACATATATCAGTATATGCCACGAGGATATCTTTGACAGCATGTTGGATGGACCAGCACCTATACATTCACGTGCAAATGCCTTGCGGAGGCATCTTGCAAAAGCTACAGGGTATAACTGGAAGTGAGTTGTCAGGATGTCGATACGATGACATGACTCACCTGCTTGAGATCAGCCAGAAGGTGACCAAGAAGGCCCGCAATGGAGTTATTGTCTTGTACTATTGTCAGCAGCTTGAAGGACAGCAGACAAAGAACAGTCATCACGGGGATCCAACCAAACGCCAGGCACGATGTACAATGGCGCGCTTCCAATGTAACGGCTGGCTACATTTTACCTTCATTGACAGTGTGCCGGGTCTGGTTCATATCCGGATGTGCCATGATCTTGCTCATGAACATGTTGCCGATATATCCATTTCCAAAGATGTTATTGCATTCATCGAGAATCATCAGGAGCTAACACCGAGTGCAGTAAGTTCTCAACATGACAACAATGAGAGAGCGAGTAATGTACCCATTTTGGCAGATTTGGGACATAATCTTGAAGAAATACGAGACCGGCGAGCTCACAGGCAAAAACTGGATTACCAAGTACCAAGTCTATGCACAGTGGTCCGAGCTAAATGAGAGAGTCTGACGGTTGAATCATTGAGCTGTGCATTGACTCAACGTGTGAGTATATTCCATGTTCGGTATGCATGCACTTACAGGTTCTGCTAGTCAAGACGAATGCGGCTGGATACAAACTTTTTGCATTTGTTGCAGGGCGGATAAACAGTCGCTACCGCTCACCTTTCTATTCACAAAGGGTGTAAGCAAATCCAAAGGTGGCGCAAAACAAAGAATCCTCATGCAAGTTCTTATCTTCCTCCGGTGGCACTTGACGTCTATCCGGTTTACAATCCCCGACAAGGACCCTTCAGAGATTGGTGCCTGCCAGGTAGTCTTCCCATCAGCGCGGCACTCAATCTGCTATTGGCATATCATTAAATATGTCAAAGAACGGTTGGCAGAAAACAAACCACCAGCTGCATATGATCCTCGTAAGGTGCATGGTATCTTCCCGTTTATCGACCCGACGTGGTGCCCTGGTGTTTCACGAGGAGACGGAGGTGAATATCTTGATGGTTGGGATTTCAAAATGTCTGGGAACTACAAGGGTGGTGTGCGCGCAAGCCTGATTGCAAATCGCCAGGTCAGAACTTGATAACCATCAGCGACTCGCCGGTAGACTGATAAAACACATTAGAGGGAGCTGGCGATGACATTAGCTCCTCTTGTTATTATTAAAGCAGGTGCTCGGTGTATATCTGTCTGGCTTGAACCTCCGAAGCCGACAGCCAAGGAGCTGTCAACCTTCTGCCCCATTGAGCACAGGGCCACGATCATCGAGAAGATGCACCTACACCTCCATCAGCACCTGTCCATTCCATTCAATGATGTTGAAGGAACTTGCCTTGAGCCTAGTGAAATCCACGAAGGCACGGTCTCCGACATGTACCACTTCTGCGTGAAGTATGGCTTGTCACAGGTCTGGGTGTATATGTGGAATCAGTGGTACTGCCCAGAGCAGTGGAAGCTCTGGGCGCAGTCAGTCTCATTTGAGACACCCGTGTTGAAGTTGACGATGATTGTCGAGAGCCTATGGCGGGTTCTGAAGCATCGTGACCTGTCAAACTTTAATCGGCCGCGACTAGATCTCGTTACATACATCATTTTGATGAAGACACTCCCTCGCGTACAGAATTGGATCCGCATCATCCTTTCTCACCCAGGCTGCGGCAATGCAATCACGGAGTGGCAAAAGGACTTCCAGACCAGCTGGCTTGACCTCTCAAAACTGGATGAGCAGTGATCTATTGAGAAAGAGTTAGAATGGCTGTATAAACCAAAGAAGATGAAAGGACGCGCGGAACGACTTACACAGATCTGGGTGTGATCCCACAAGATCAAATTGCTGTGCCAAGCACATACCTGAGCACCAGCAAGACTTTCTCAAGCAGAGATCACTTGTTCAAGAAGTCATCAAAGCGGCGGGGCATACGTGCATTTTCCTGCCTAAATTCCACTGCGAAATCAACTTCATTGAATACTTCTGGGGTGCTAATAAATGATGGCTTTGTGAACACTGCAACTACGCATTTGACACCCTCAAGGAGAATATCCCACAGGCACTTGCATCAGTCTCTGTTGAGTTGATTTGTCATTGGGAACATCAAAGCTGGAGGTTCATCAAGGCCTATTCGGAAGGCCTTGACGCAAAGGATTCACAAAGGAAGGTTAAAGAGTTCAGTTCACGGCAATACAAGTCTCATAGATGTGTCCTGGAGACACTCGCCTGCCAGCTGGAACAGGCTCGTAAAGCACGTGATTGATATTTACCTAATTAGGCATGTATTACATAATCTGTCCAAATCTTGGACATACATCTCTCTCAATTTTTGGAATTTGGGGAAATTGGCTGGCAGATCTTATTCTACATCCATTTCAAGCCTATTTACCCGGAGATACTCTGATTGAAGCAGATTCATAGGTTTGGTAATGCTTGTACACCTTTGGTGGCAGCTAAGTGACGTGCACCATATCACTTTTGATGTCTTATTCACATAGTAACCACCATATTACCATAATACATGTGTTACTTGTAATGTATGACCATGCCTTGATATACCACTTGCCAGAGAGAGGCCCAGCAACTCATTGATTTCTTTACTATATATGGACACAAATAGCAGACATAACTTTACAAAGCCTGACAGGTGTATGAACACCAACGTCAACAGGCACACCTCATTGGAGCTTGTCAGCAATAGATTAGTGACTACAATAATCTCTTGACTCTATCTACACCCCCATCCTAGTCACTGGGCAAAAGCACTGCAAATGGGACATTATCAGACTCAGTGGCACCCAAGTCAGATGTGTGATGAGAAGAAAAGAACAATTTATTTTCGCATTTCTCACTTCCATATATGGACTGGTAACCACTGTGCTACTTGAAGTGGTTAAAATTCAACCAGTATTTTACCTACTACAGTGGGTTCAATTCACCCATAGTCTGGGAGGTGGATCCCAGTGTGTGGAAGAAATGTGATGGGTGGTTTTTATCTATTGTTTGTCCAATCTAAACCACAGGGAGTTTACAAGATTCAGAAATCAAAATCACCCATTCCATGAGTTGTGCATACAGCCCATGTACAGACACTGTACACTGGCCCCACCGGTTGCATGGTTTGCCAAATTTGGAATTGATCAATAACGATTGCACCAGACTGCGCTTGCACTTGTTTCCCCATGCTTGCCAGTGTGCTTATCCCTTTCACACTTATGGCCACTGTACATGGTTGTCATGGCACGCCTCCAGTACTCATCCTTTCCTGTTTCCCCACATTCCCCATACGCTCTTTTTACCCTTTCAGGTTTCCTAGGACCTCCCAGACACTGCTTCTATTCTTTTGGGTCTCCTAGGAGCCCCATACATTCTTCTATCCTTTCGGGTCTTCTAGGGCCTCTGCATGTTGCGCAGCCTCCCTAGGCCGTTCCACTGGTCACATGCCGGGCACCTGAGGAGCCTCCCTCTCTCTCATTGGACCATCCCTCTTGTTGCTGATGGATTACTCAGCTACTATATAGTCGCCTGTCGCACCAGGGAGCAACTCAGACTTGTTCTCTCAGTTGCTTCCCTGCCTTGTGCAACAGGTATGTGTATTTCCGTCATATCTTTGTATGTATGCTCAGTTGCTTCCCTGCCTTGTGCGACAGCATCTCCACCGCTGACCCGGGGGATCCGTGCCACTCCTAGGAGCTCCAGTGCGTACTCTGACAATGGCTCAGTTATGGTCAATGACTATATTCTTGACTTCGGAACTCTGTGTGGCAATACTACATTGAAGATCATTGAAATATGTATGCGTCAAGTACATTCAGCTCTCACAGCACCTGCATGGGTTGCAGGCAGCTTGCCCGCACCAGCCCTCATTAATGTTTGCTTGCAGTGTGAAGCTTTGGTTGTGGTTGATATTTGACAGTCTCAGGTTGTAGAGTACAGCAGCAGTTGGTTGCATCCTATTGCGCTTCACCAATGTTGGACAAGGCTTTGGCTATTGTGGGCCTACTGCTGAACCAGAGGAGGAAGCACGTGAGGCTGGCAGCTCCATCGGAGGACAATTTTCACAGCCCTCATCATCTTGGTCAAGTTTCTCTGAGTCCCGCTCATTGTGACATGAAGCTGGAGCATACAATGCAGGATACAGGCATCTGATAAAACTCTATGGCTATGGAAGCTATGGAGTGCTATGGTAGCACTATGGTAGTACTCTATAGTATATATAGCCTGCCATAGCAATGTAGATTTTTCCTGAGAGCTGACGAGCCGCTTATGGTATCCTTCTCTTCTTGCTTCAAGGATTCATAAACTGACCCTTTATGGTACTGTACTTTTGCTTGTTTCAGAAATGCTGAGCTATAATCTCATCAACAGGCCAGCACCCATCAAATTGTTTGAGGAATTCACGTGACTCCCTTGCCTAAGGACAAGAGGTGAGCATTTGCCCAAAATGGATGTGGTACAACACTTACAGTCCGGTAGATCTTTGTGATATCATCTTTTGGCTCATGCCAAAATGGAACCCACCAATCAAGCTGGGCAGCAATGGCCAATCCTCGCACATTCTGCTATGCACCTGTGATGAGATCATCAAAAGGATAACAGCAAGCAAGAGCTGAATACTGACACATATGGCAAGATATAGTTCATTCTTTTTGGCATTGCCTATGAGCACCTCTGTCTGAAGACTATAGCCTTTGTTCCCGGCAGTGCCTTGAGGTTGAGGTATTTTCTCCAGTGAAGCTGTAGGACCAGTAGCACCAACTGCGCCATTGCTTGCTTGTTGCTCGAGCTCACATTGACAAGCTTTCTCCTTCTCCACACGTGCTGTTAGACATTAGGTTGGTGGTGACTCAAATTTATGCTTAAATTGTAATACTCACCATTTGCCTATAAATAAAGCTCCTTGTAGCATATCCCATCTTTGTTTATATCCAGATCATCATTGTCACTGTCACCGTCGTCGCTAGCAAAAAATTGGCCAACATCAGGTGTGCATTTCTGCTTTGGGAACTGTGCTGTCCGTACTTGACACTGTGTTCATCGTTGGTGACAGGCATGAAAGACAGAGATGTCGTAAGTCAGAGGTGAAGTTTAGACGCAGAATATTTACAACAGATGGAGGAAATAGTGGTTGATTTGAAATCTGCAGCATGTGATTGGTTCCTGGCCATCTCTCCTTGAGGGCAGATGTGCATGCCCCTTCTGGACTCAGTTCCTTTCATTCAGAGCCTGTCAGGCTGCACTTGTACTACAACACTGCAAACTGCACATACGTGCTAATGCTATAACATAGGTCCCTCTGCCAACCTCTGGTTGCCAGCACTTGCTTTTGATCCACACTCCTAAGTCTCCCCAACACAGCACAGGTTGTTCTGCTTTGACATTGACCACCAACACCATATGCCAGAGGTACGTACTTTTGTCTGCCATTTGGTGTCTCTCACCAGTTTCTCGTAGGTTCATTGACTCTTTCTCCATCAAAAAGACCTCAGTTGCCAGTGCTTGCCTTCTGTTCATGTTCCTGTCTCCCTAACAGAACGAAGGTCATTCTGCTTTGATATTGACCACCAACACTGCATGCCAGAGATATGTACTTTTGCTTGCTTTTTGGTGTATCTCACCAGTACCTCGTACGGATCACTACTGTCATGATGATTGGTCGGTGAGGCAGTCACAAGCCCAAGGCTGCACAGCCTATGAAGCACATATGTTCCTGTGGGTGTGGTAAGCTCGTAGGAGCTTGCGAGGACCTACACCATCAGAATACAAAACACATTCCCCAGCCATTAGCGAGAGGCCAGAACATCTGGTCTACTTACTGTACATTATACTACAAGTGCTGTTGTTAACACTCTGCAATGTTCTCTCAGCCACTCATCTCGATCCACAGATCATGACAATGGTGCTCCCATGCAGGATCCGTATTTGCCAAACAACAACAACATGGATCTTGAGGAGCCGGTTTTGGGGGATGAGATGATTATCGAGCGAGAGGAACTTTGAAGGTGGCAACTTCCTTGGGTAGAAGAGGTGACAGATGAGGACAATGAGGAGGTTCCTGACAAGGGGAGACTAGACTATGACACAAATGTTGATGCGGATGATGATGAAGACACCCAGTTCAATCCAATCACTGCATATGAAGCTCTCAAGGAAGGTTTTGATGGCAGTGCATGCACCACAGGTCAGTCAGATATTTTAGACAACATATTTCTATAGGCACTAAGCTTGATGACGAGGACATCTCTATTCTTTGACTTTTTGCCCTCAAAGTCACAACACATATGAAGATGAAGGCATTCGAGAAGCTCCCATTTGCTTTTCCTACCCAAGATATACCCTCATGGAAGGCTACTCAGTGGTGTGCCGCTGTTCTTTCTGCACTGGACCCAGTGATATATGACTGTTACAGTAACTCATGCTGCTGCTTTGTGGGACCTCATTCAGCCCTCGATGCCTGTCCTTACTGTGGGCAATCAAGACATGATGCTGCTGGACATCCATGTTCGCAACTTCCCTACCTACCACTCACACCGTGTCTAAAAGCATTTCTGGAATGCCCAAACATGGCCAAAGAGATGCAATATCATGTCAGCAAGCACTCCCATACACCTGGCTTGATGACGGACATCTTTGATGGTGATCTATATCAACATCTCTGCCGTACACCAGTCTCAATTCACGGGTGGAAACTTGACCATTTGTTCTTCTCCAATCTGTGGGATGTTGCACTTGGGCTCTCATCTGATGGCTTTGCACCACACAGATGTCAGAAGAAAACGGCCTGGCCGCTCATCCTTTTCAACTACAACCTACCGCCTGAGGTCTAATTTCATTCCAAGAACATCATTCCTATTGGTGTTATTCATCTGGTAAAACTCCATAGCTATGGAAGCTACAGAGTGCTATGGTAGTACTATGATAGTACTCTATAGTATATATAGCCTGCCATAGCAATGTAGATTTTTCCTGAGTTCCAGGACCTAAGAAGCCTGTCAACTTTGGCTCTTTCTTGTGGCCATCAGTCGAGGAACTTTTGCGACTTGAGATTGGGATTCATGCTTACAATGCACTGTCCTGTGGTTACTTTCCTCTCCATGTATTATGAGACACCGAGTTCCACATAGAATCACGTGACATTCCCCACGCTGAGTGTAACATCTGTAATGATGATGATGATGAACTCTGCTAGCCTGTTACACAACATTGGAGAGCACCTGGGTATACTGGGTACACTAGGTACATGTACAGTAGTCTGAGTCCAGAACATGAGCTAGTGACGTGGAAATGGTGGGTAAATTGAGGAGTTCTAGATCTGGTCTGGTAGGTATGGTGGCACAAGCTCTTTGTGAGGTTTGCTGGTTCAGGTGCATGAGGGTGAAGTACAAAGTGTAATATAAGTAGAGAATAAGGGGGAGGTGGGCACTGATTTGTCTCCTACACACCCTGCAACCTCCCCATCTGCCTCGCCGACTCCAAACCTGTCTATGCCGTCAGCATTGGCTCTGTTCTCTTTCAGCCAGTGGTGGAGGGTCAGGAATCACGTTTAGTGGAGTGGACCAGGGTGCTACATGTCCCAGAGCTCCGCTCTAACCTCCTATCAGTCCTGTATCTCACTCAGCACAAATCCATTTGCATTGTTGGACACCCTCCCTTCAGATTATCCCTTGGATGCATGACTCCAAGCCACAGACAACCTGGTCTTTTATCGCCCCAAAAATGCCCTGGTAAAGTTACGTTTGATTGGTATGCATTCTGAGCAAACTGCTTATACATGGACAGTATGGATCCCAAATTTTGGAGCCCTTCAAGCCCGGCGGTGATTTGAACAGAAGCTTCCGCCACATCACGGATAAGATACAGGTGCAAAAGGAGCCCTTGATCTTTAGTCGGTACACATCTACGACTTCCATGCCTGCTACCTGGTCGCTCCTCATTATTGCCTTTGCACATTGGACACTATCCAATCTGGTAAGATCTTCAGAAGCTCTCCACAAGGAGTCGTGCTGATTGCAAACAGGAGGAATATTCCCCCCTATGGCCTTTGCCCTTATCTCAAGGGGCACGGATGGAAAGGCAGTGAAGTAAACTATTTGTTATCTATACATTGTCAAGCAGAAGATCTTGGAATATAATCCATCCAAGTCCTAAAAAGGGCCCAAGAACATTCCTTCCATCACAGGGAATTTTTTGTAATATTTTGGGCAGATATAGCTAAGTAAACAGTTTAAGAAATATATTTTCTATATACTTAGCTGTTTTTGGGGATATATTTACTGCCCATATCCTTAGGATTCAGCAAAGGAAACTATTTTCTATCTATTTTGCTATTTCTGGAGGAAATTGATAGTAAATTTCCCAGGAAATAGAGAAAGGAATAGTTTATCTATTTCCGAGGGAAATGGGTAACAAACACTGAGTGGGCAATGAGCGGGCCGCTGAGCACCTGGCCCTCATGCTAAACAGCACCTTCAGACTTTTGCAGCAGGCAAGGCTCTGGACTCAGGGCCGCGAAAAGTGCCGGCAAGGACCAGCAGCCACGCAAGGAGTGGGCAGCAGTGCAGCCACACGAGGAGGGCAGCACCCGTGCATGAGACAGTGCCCACAAACTTGCACCCATGGTGTGAGATGATTATGTTATCATCGGGCTTGCTTGTACATCGCCCCCGCTCCCCTCTCTCTGTCCCCACCACGAGCCTGGCCCGACCGCGGGTGAATTCTGTTGCTGACGTGTCGATGGGCATGCTTCGTTCACCCCAACGAGCTTGCGAGGGCACTCAGTAGGCTAGCCAGTACCGGACATCCATCTGAGGAAGCAGCCAAAAGGTGCCTGCAACAGTTCAGGGGAGTCTGCGACAAGGGTTGTTGCACCCATCCCACCATCCATTGGCATGGATGGTGTCTCTGGCCAAAACCCTCATGCAGCTGTATGGACTACCTGCACCAAGCTCTGCCATGCAGGGTCAATCTGGCCATCGAACTAGACCTGATGCACAAACCAACTGCCTCGATGTTGCCAACTGAGGACAACTTCTGCCTCCTTTCTCTGAACTGGCTCATGCATGTTATACCCCCATGTAAAGTCAGAATAGCAGAGGGAAACTAATTGATCCAAACTCACTGTTGCGTGCTCATTCACCCTTCTGATCCTGGTCATCAGACCCCTGTTCCTCCTGCAGCAGTGCAACTTGCTGCTGCAAGTCTGCCATGGCCTGTTGTGAGCCTTTGTCACGGGTCAATCATCGCTGACCATTACCTATCATCCCCAACTGTCCTCTGACATCTCCTCCGCTCTTTGCCGCTCATTTTCCCGTGGTCCTCCAACGGATCTCCGGCGGACTTTTCGTATCTTTGACTCTCCCATGTTTCCTTTGTTCATCCTTGCTCATTCTCACACCATATTCTTCTTCCTTGTGCTCAGTTTCCTTGGCACTGATTCCCTTTGTGTTCTACATGTACTTTAGATCTTCTTCCCTGTTCCCTTTGTCTTATTGATGATAGATTTGTCTCGCAGTTCCGTCCCTGACAGCCTTTAACAGTTTGTTGCAAGTCCTCAATCTTCTGCTGCAGCTGTAGCTGCTCTTGCAAGCCCTCTACTGTCTGCTGCAAGTTTGGAACATTCCTCTGCAGTTCTAACTCCCTCACATGCCTATCTACCCATTTGCTGTCCATTTCATCCATTGCATTTTCGAGGTGAATTTTTTCCTCCTGCATTCTCTGGAGGTTCACTCATGAACTTGTCTCGCTCTGTCCGCACAGAATAGGCTTGATCCTCTGCTGCACATAGGCAGCGGAGTAGTTCCGGTGTAGTCTTGTTTGCTCTAGCAGCCTTTTGACTGATCAACATCGCTATCTCAATTCAGCTACCAACTTGGCCACCCTCTTGACCAATGCTGTTGAGACAGCAATGATCTTGTTGGGCATCGCTGACACAAAAGGTATGCCAGCTGTATGTCATTGTGACAATAATAAAGTAGCTGACCGACACCATTGCAGGAAATACCTTATGAAAGCCGTTGGTCGTCAGCGAACACTTTTCACTCCCTGATAAGTCACATCCCCTTTGAACCTCTGTTTATAGGTGTGTATCCCTGCTGATCATAGGCACTGGGGAAGTATGTACCCAGATTCCCAGATGCAATGCTTCAACAACATCGGACCTCGGGTTTTGCATGCCGTACTGGATCAAGACCCATGACGATCTGTGCAAGTCTGGCCAGCTCGCAACAGTGCTCAAGGCCAAAAACACGTTTGAGGACCAGTGCAGGATGAGGTGGAGGACGGATATGGCTCAAGTGTGCCATGAAAATGATGCACACGTGAAGTGGAACGTGTAGGAGTGGTAAGGGGAGCTGGTTTTGCCAAAGGCACTGAAAGGTCTTGACGGCCTCTGTGTTGCTCCTGTGCCCCATGAAGTATGTCATAGGGTATTTGGAAAGCTGAATATACTCTGAGGAGATTGGTTAGAGAACCCATATGTATAGAAAGACAATGAGACTGACAAGTTTTGTATTTTTCATGCCGAAGTTGCAAATGCCATAGTGCCCCAGTGGAGACAAATATCCGGTTCTTTACCTGCCCTTTGACAGACCACTTTCCGTGACATTTTCTTGTCGCCTTTGGTACCTCTGCATGAGGTTCAGTATAATGTAATACATGAACAGGTGTGATACACACTGACAGGCGGTGAAGGTTTTGTGGGCTTTCTATTACACTTTCTTATGCGCTCCTTTCCCTCGGGGTTTGCTGCAGAATTGAATGGTCACATATCAACATCATGTAGAAGCCATGGATGATGTACCGTCGTTTGCCATGATCAGACAGCCAGCCTGAGGTGATAAGAAGGAAAATGGGGAGTGTTACTCATTTATGTGGGAACTTGGCATTCTACCATGACCCAGATATCCACTTGTTGATTCCCTCAAGGTCACCACTGTTCTCTGCCCTGCTTCATCACACGTGGTACAAATTTGATGGTACTACCGTCAAATTCGTACCAGAATACCAGATGCACCCACCCAGAGCCTCTTCATACCAGTCTATTGAGGCAGCCAACCTCTTCTACCACACACCTCCTCTATGCTTGCAGTTTGTAGCACTCACTCAATCTGTGGCTACATGGTCCACATATCTTTTTCTTACTCGAAGGTCCCCTCCTTTGATACCAACATCCTGCAGCCTGGCAACGTAATATGTCTACGCCTCATGTTTGGGACCGAAATAATGGCTGCTAGTGCCTGTATCTCTTACGAGAAGATTGGCAACTATATCATATATGTCACCCGCCTTCACAAGAAATACCGCTCGCATGATAATATCTTTGGACAAATGGCCAATGTATACTATTGTATTGCTGCTTCGAGAAGTTATATGCCCATCAATTCAGGAGTAGGGGACCTCGTTGTCATCGCCAAGTACAGCAACAATAAGCGTGGACCTCAGCTTCCTCCTATCAAGAAAAAATATGGATCACTTCCTCTCGGCTGTCTTGTCACCATCAAAAACTTAGTAGTCGCCACGAACGTCACTCTTCATCTCCAACTATATTCCCTTCCTCTCCTCCCTCTTAATGATCAACACCTCCGCCCTAAAAATATCCCTGTCAATATAACACGCTCGTCTCTGTTCACAGGTCACCCACACTTTAATAGCCGTCTACATCGAGGGGAAGGATGATAATGTCCTTGAGATTTTGAAAAAAGAGTCCTGCGCCACCCTTTAACTAGGTACCCAGATATTGGACACATCCCTCCTCACAAGAATATTGTGGGTTGTGATACCCACATGATAAGATTTCCTCTTGTATAAATATATTTCTGATTTTGGACTA